TTTTTTTTTTTTTTTTTTTTAAAGGACAAATGCTCCGGGCCCAGCGTCCCATATAGGATTACACAAGTCATTTGAGATACCGGGGCCATTACCCGGCTTCGGCTGAGAATCAATCTGAGAACTATTGAGAACTATTAAAAAAATTCAAGAAAATTAAAAAAAGGTTGAAAAACTTATGAATGACTACTGACCTCTTTTCAAATGATCGGAACCCCTAGACTCCCAAACAAAACTCTCTAAAACTGTCCAACACTGTCTTATTCCCTGCCGGGCTCTCCCAGGCCTCACACTCCCACTCGGCTAGGTTACAGAGCAACATGACTCGCCCCAGCTCCGGCCAGCGTCGTCCCAACAACAACCCTTGGTTGTCCCTTGGAATGCCCACCCCAAAGCATCCCCAGATCTCTCTACCAGGACTCACACTCCTGCAGTCAGCAGGTTATAGGGCAACACCCCAACACCGGCCAGCGGCGTTCTGGCATTGAACAACCGCAGATCCATGAATGTACCAGTATCAAACAGCCTAAAGCGAGTTGCTAGAAGTCCCCAGAATCCTAAGGCATTCTCGTTTTTGAGAGCACATACAGAAGAAAAAAAAATTGAGATACCGGGACTTCAACCCGGCTTTGTCATCACTAAGGTCCTATAAATGCTCAAAAACAGGCCGAACCCCTAGCAAATCCTTCTAAAAATCTCCAACACTGTCTTACTCCCTGCCGAGCTCTTCCAGGTCTCGGATCCCCACCCGCTCGGGTTACAGGGCAACACGACTCACCCCAGCTCCGACCAGCATTGTCCCAGCAGTGACCCTTAGTTGTCCCTTGAAATGCCCACCCCAAAGCATTCCCAGATCTCTCTACCAGGCCTCACACTCCTGCATCAGCAGGTTACAGGGCAACACCCCAGTACCGGCCAGCTTCGTTCTGGCATCGGACAGCCACAGATCACTGAGTATAACAGTAATGAAGCCTCCTAAAATGAGTTGCTAGGGGTCCCCAGAATCACAAAACATTCGTAAGACCAATATCAGATTTATCTCCTTTCTCGTAGAGAAGTGTAATGATTCCGTCTCCTGTGTGTGGACCAAGAGAGTTGCCTATTAGAACTCGATTGAAATTTCGTAGAAGGTCAGGGCCTAAGATAGACCAAAAACGGAGGTAGAATTCAACTGGGAGACCGTCGGGGCCTGGACATTTGCCTTTGGCCATGCTGTTAACTGCAGAAGTTACTTCGGACATTGTGATTGGGCTTTCCAGTGAGGATGCCTCTACATCTGAGAGGATCTTCCGTGTAGAGCACCAGAGGAGTTCCTCTAGGTGAGGAGGTATGATGGGGGAATTGGGTTCCTTTTCAGATGTTAGTAGGCATTCATAGAATGTTTTTACATGTTCGCATAGCTTAGAGGAGTCCCTGGCTGTGGGTAGATTTGGTTCATCTGGATCTGAAAGATGAGTGATGAGACAGTTACTTCTCACATGACGGACTGCGTTGGAGGTTTTGTCAGTTAGTTTGTCTGTGTACAAAATTTTATCAATTTCTCTGTATTTACTATTTACTATGTAGCCCACAAGTTGTGATGTCTAATTTGAAGGTTCTGCCATCTTTGAACGAGTCTATTTCTTTTTCGGAGGTTGACGATTTCAGTGAAAAAAAACAGTCTGAGGGTATGTTATCCAGAGTGTCAATCTTCCTTTTCAGTTGTATTTGCTCGTATTTTCTGTTTACTGCTTTAACTCTTGAGATAAGATTGAGTTGGTTTGAGATGAGAGTAAGGCCTTTGTCCAGCCACGTACCCTCATCTAGGAAGTGGGAAGTGCTGTTTCTCCATTCTTCCCATGTTTCACGTACTAGTACATGCAGGCTAAGTCGAAAGAGGTCTTTTCCTTTTGTGGCTTGAAGGCCTAGATTGAGTTCAATGAGGACTAGTTTGTGGTCGGACAATTGGAGAGCGTTGTCATTAGTGAAAAAGATATCTAGTCTTCTTGGCCCGAGGATGCGAGATTCTGAGGGGGCTTGTGATGTCTAAGTGTGAGTGTGAGTGTCCGGATTTATACAGTGATAAGGGTCGAATAGAGCATTATCAAAAATAAAATCATTGAGAGCTGCCGATTCTCCAGGATGGGAGAGGGGGGTTGGGGAATCCAAATCCGGATTAGGGACAATATTCCAGTCGCCCCAATGATCAGGTAGTCGGCTTGTGGAACTTATTCGTTGCCAGTGCCACCTTTCGTTCCCTGGGCTGGAGCCCACAACTGAGGTTCATTCCACCATAGAAACATAGAAGTCAACACTTATCTTCTGATAACATTGTTTCCTGAATCAGGATGATGGATACTCGATTGGAGTGAACCCATGACTTGAGCCTTGCTCGTCTGTGCTTACCGCTGTTGTCTACCAGGCCACGTACGTTCCAGGAGGCTGAGATCAGCCTACTGTCCATTCACGGCTGACGCCTGCGCCCCAGTCTGGATGGGCTCTTGGAGGTGGCTGTGCTGGTCTATCGCAGGTCTAGTGTTCAAGGTGCCCCAAGGGATCTTCATCGACTCCAAGATATACTTGGTGAAGATGGATCTTTCCTTGGGGATATGGACATCAAGCTCAGCTATTGCATTCCCTTTGATCCCATCACCCAATGATGGGTAGAATCTTTCTTTCCTATTGTCTTTTTGCACCAGGTCGTGGGGCCCCCAAAGAGGAGCAAGTCCACGCCTGGTACTTGGGTGGCCTCTAGACACATGTTGAGGATGGGATGTGTCTTCCCGGAGTGTCCCTGCCTATAGATGGAAGAGCAGGGGATGGCGGTCATGGGCCGTACATAGTACCGCTTATCTAGCGTTTTCCTTGCCGCTTGCAGGAACTCGTTGGGGTGCGGGAAGGACGAAGTAGTGAGAGGGAGGACACAAAAATTGTTGTCGCCATTGGCCTGTAACAGCAGTGATGTTTCCTGATTACATTGTTTGAAGATGAGGGGTGCGAGGACATATGGAGTTTCCTGCGGAGTGGAAGGAGAGATGGGTCCCACCAGGGGTGGGAGGAGGGTCTGAGGAACTGTTACGTTCCCCATAACGAGATCATCCGTTCTCATCTTTTTAGAAAATTGCTGATGAGATGGACTCGAGATCCCGTTGTCTGCTGTTGGTGCCTTTTACGAAGATGGGCCCTGGGGGGCTTTCGCTGAGGTGGGATCCTGTAGTTGGGGAGTGTCCTTGAGAGCTTCTTCCCCAGCTGCTGTAATGGCCAGTGGGCTGGTGACACCTGGAATAATCAAGGGGCGAGCAAGATTTGGCCAGCCCCGCAGGTTGCCTGATGTTTGCAGACCCGCAGGTGCAGGGTCTTTGATGGTGGGGCTCAATGGGCACCACGCCGGTCTTCCGGTAGGGGGAATGTTCTTTTTCTGACACACATACTGAAGGGAGCTGTCCTATTCGAAGGAACCCTGCTGCTATCTAGAAGGATTGCGAGGGAGGGGTTGTTGTTGTCGGTTTCCAGGGAAATGTTCTTTTTCTGACGCGCGTACTGAAGGGAGCCATGGTCTGAAGTAGACATAGTTCCACCTTGTCCCTTCTTTAAATGTCATTTCCTTTTTCACATTTGTCAGCCAATCGATAATGTTCATATTTTTTGCAATGTATGTCATTTGACCCTTAACTTCCATGTGTGCAGTTTTTTGTGATGCAAGCTCTTCTTCTGACGGAATGGATTCTTCCAGATATCTGACAAGCTCAATCTTCTTGTCATTTGTCCAGTTTTTTGTCTCTCCTTGGAACACAATTGCGACAGTCATTCGTTTCAAAAATTTGTTCTGGACTTGCTGAAGGTCTGTGACGCCCAACCTCACGCCCGGCGCGACTTCCTGTTCAGAGTGGGATGGGGGCCTGGAAGTGCGAAAAGGGGTGTGCCAAGGATTTTTGGGAATTTGGGGTGGAGTCCCAGGTCGGAACTGAGATCTCCGGTGGCAAGTTTCAGGGGCAAGAGTGCAAGTGTCTTCTGCTCAGAGTTGAGGCGATGACCGACCGTGCTGCCTGAGCCGGGGTGGGGTGCTACGGGTGTCTCTGTGGGAATGCTCATACCGCTGCCGGCCGTCGCACGTCTCGGGGTC